AGCAATGGCCGCCAGTCCAGTAATGTTCCTGAGTTTTCCTCTTCAAATCCCACCGGGGATTTTCTGTTGGGGCTCCACTCAGCTGACGTGTGATCCCAGCACTTCTCCTGCGGCCAGCCTGGGTGGAATTTGAGGGACAAGCTTCAGCTTCCTCACAGACAGCGTGACGTTTCCTCCTTGAATGTCCTCGTACTTCGGTGAATCCTTCTTCTTAGCATCACAGAGTTCGGTCTAGACCTGCTCTTTTATGAAAAGCGCTGCGAGATAACTGTTGTGTGATTTGGCCTATAAAAAATTAATTGCCTTCCACACGCTGCAGGTTTGCAAAGCAGCCCCACGGCATCACCGAGCGATCTCCTCCAGCGTGCTGAGAAGTTCCAGTTTTATGTCCCAAAACTGCTGGGGCTTGTTTATGAGTTTGAACATACTGGGGCGAGGGTTTTGCACAAACTGCCTTCTCTGAAATCTGGTTGCAGCCGTTGGTAGTTTCCCTTTTCTGCCCCCTCCAGGAAGTGTAACCACTGTTCCTCTGAACTGCGCCTCCAACGGTGTCTCTAGGAACCTTCAGTGGCTTCACTGTGAAGGGCGGTGAACATGTGACACTCCACAAACCCCTGGACAGTTCAGGTATTTCATGTGTTCCAGCTCAAGCAAACCTGGTGCAACTAATAAAGCCCTTCATCAGCTGCGTCAGGTGCGCTTGGGCTGAATGATTTACAGACCTGAGAAGTGATTATAAGATGCATTTTCAGTTGCTTTTGTTGGATTTGTTCATTGCAAACAGCTGATCCAGGCATGTTTTAATGGATCGGTATCAGATAAGGAGATCAGAATCTGATCGTGCTGCTTTCTACCAACTAAACCTTCATTTCTAACCAAAGACACGTTTTGTATGTTGCAGTCTTTGTGTTAAAGAGCTTGTTTGTAGTTCTTAATGTTTTGTTGAACAGTGTAGCTGAATAATCTCCTTATCAGGCCTGTTCTGGTGTTTTGGAATCGCATCGATAACAAAACGCCTTGTTGGACAGCTGCCGTGATAACAACTCACAATGTTTCCTGACTCTAGGCTGCCACGCTCGTAACGAACTTGCTGCTCACGCTCACTCTGGAGTTTATATCTCAACATGTGACGCAGTAAAAGTGTCTTCAGGGTTCAGATCTGTGAATCCAGTCAGTGGGCCGGTTATCACTTTAAAAGCATTCATGGAAATGTTTTTTGTTGACGTGAAGCGAACAGAGTCTGGACTCTTTAGGAGATCAATCTGGCTGTTTAGTCAGAGCGGCAGACTCAACACACAGCTGGAATGTGGTTTTCCGACCGTTTGATTCCCCGCTGTGTTTCCCCTCAGGCCAGAGAGAAACCGGCCCGCTGGCACAGAGGCAATAATCTGTGTCTGTGTGTTCAGGTTACGGGCAGACCGGTCCTCAGTCTCAGAGTCCAGGCTACGACTCCATCGCCTCGGCCGTGTCGGGGATGATGCACATCACCGGGCCAGAGGTCAGACTCTCTCTCTTCCCTTCTCTCGTCCAGTAACAGCCTGTCAGATCATCATAAACTGTCCTGACCTCGTTCCTGCATCTAGACCAGTTAAAGCACAGCACAGGCCTGCAGCCGCCTTCGGTTTAAGATTACAACATGGAAACCTCCTGTTCACTACACACTGTTCTGGATCCACTGTGTTGTCTGAGTGCCCTCAGTGAGTCCAGGCGTGACTCTGCTTCCTGCTAACTATCCCAGAATGCAAGTCTAATGCTGCTATTATTCCTCTGCTGGCAGGACGGCGAGCCGGTGCGTCCCGGCGTCGCCATGACAGACCTGGCGACGGGGCTGTACGCGCACGGAGCCGTCATGGCCGCCCTGCTGCAGCGCCACAAGTCGGGGAGGGGAGTTCACATCGACTGCAACCTGCTGTCTTCACAGGTAACGGTTGAGTGATCACCTCGCCGACCAAATCAAGTCAACTGAGAGCAGCTGTGACATCTAATGAAAAGTTTAAGCAGCTCTTTGTAACTTTGTACCTAAAATATCACCTAAATAGGACATGCTGCTTTACAGCGTTGTGTTCAGGGTCTGCTGGTAAATCACACTGCTGACGCTGCCTGTCTGATTCAGTCCTTATCAATGGGGTGTTTCTGATGGGAGAGATAAGCAGAGGTGTCACTGCGGCTTTTTGTGTGTGTGGGAACTAATAACGGATCCTTTAAACAAGCCATTGATTTATCCTGAACGGCCCGGACAGTTTAAACACGGTAATCAATGTTGCTCCGAATGTTTTCGCCGTTTAAACAAATCAGACGTTACATAATCTTAAAACCGTCGGGGGGGCTCTGAGACGGATGGGATGACACGTCGTCCTGGCCTCCGAAGCATTCGAGACTCCCAGGGTGCGTTTGATTTGTGGTGTCAGGACATGCTGCCTGTGTGACAGTGTTGCTTTTAAAGGCATGTTTTATGTTTTATGTATCTCATTTTTCACCTCTTTCAGTGGGAAAGACGCTGCGACACAAACCAGTTCAGCTCATTTGGTCCTCCAGAGAGAAATTCACTTTGGAATAGAAACACAGAAAAGTCTGTTTCCTGTTAGTCGAAAGATAAACAAACCTTACTGGCGTTCCTGAAGTTAGTTTTTGAAAATTGTGATAAAGAACATTTTAGAATTGAAAGTAAATCTTTGACTATTCGTAGAACACTGACTCTGTTTCTAAACATATCTTTACATTTCTGTGCTCTGTACATCAAAGTTTGTGTAGAATTTAAAAGGAAGAAATGGGTGGATAGACAATAGAGACATTGATAGATGATAGAAAGATACTGAATAGAGGGATGGATAAATTATAGATGGATAAAGATGGATGGCTGGCATGTATGACAGCAGGCTGTAATTGTTTTACGTGGCTGCGAGGTCTCTATCTCTGCGGTCGACTTCCAGGGCTGCTACACATAAAATACCCACAATCCACCCCCAATTCCCATGCTGCGTTCCTGTACGAAGTGCTGCGACCACAGGCGCGCCGACCAGAGATGAACAATGAGAGCACAAAGCCTCACAGGATCTGGATCCATGTGGACGGGTTTAAGCCCAGTTTGGTTTGGTGTTTCAGGGGAAATTTAATCATTACAAACCAATCGGGGTTCACAGTTGTATCTGCGTGAGCTGCCTGCAGGTCCCGGAACAGCTGGAAACATCGGGGGGGGAGAAGTCAGAAGTCTGAAGTTCAGCTTGAAACGGCTTTAAATTGTTGTGGTTGTTGGAGGAAGTGGCTCAGCCGTGCAGAGAAACACCAAATATCTGAGGATGAGAAACAATTTCAGGCTGTTGCTGCGGGGGAAGTTGAGACCACGGAGATGATAGTCCTCATCCTTTTATCTGGTGATAGTACATTGAAGCAGAATGTAAATGCCACCTTTCTGTCCGAGGGTGTTTCCACGTGCAGCCGACTCTTCCTCCTGTCGATCCGTCACTCTGTCCTGTCAGAATACATTTCTCAGACTCAGTGACTCCCTTTTTACACTGGGCTTCTTGTATTTACAGTCGTCACCGGATGATTAATGAGCCGCCAGGTGACCTACCAGCAAGGCGCGTGAGGTCAAAACTACTACATCTTCATTGTGAGTGCGACGTGTTCAGGCTTCATCAGAGTCGTGGGAATGAAACGTTAAGCGGTCTTTCTGCAGTGTGGACCAGCCTTCATGTAAAAGTCTGCCTTCACCACTTCACTGAGGGTTTTTAGCTGCTGTTTGCTTCCTCTCACCGCCGCTCAGTTTGCGGATGTTTCTTCTCACCACATGAATCAGCCTGAACAGATTCACCCTCTGATTCTCTTGTAATTCATCTTTTTTAGCCTCGTGCAGGATTGAACGTGAAATTGAGTG